CAACATTAACCAACTGGTCTGCTGACATAAATGGCAGAAAGTGTTGCTGTGCAGTAATCAATAGCAATCAATCACCAATCAGCTCTCTCAAGCTTAGATTGATCAGAATTATAACAATAGAAACCTGATTGAATAACAAGCTGAAACCTGATTGATTACTATTAACTGCACGTCATTCTTCTTTGCCTTGTGCTATTAAATAAGGCTGAAATTACTCCATCATGAATAATCTCAATGGAACTCATTCTAAAAGTGTCTGAAAGAGTAAGTTGGCAGCCCCTTGGGACCAATCAGACTGCAACTTTTACAGTACGGGCTACAAGATGAAAGCAAGACTCTGACTGGCCGCTGTGGGCAATACATATTATGTCTTCTGGACACTTTTTAAAATGAGGTCCACTGATTTAAACATCTCAGTGTTTAAATCCATGTCTCTATATAAAGTTTGTTGAAAATAATATAATATATATATATTTTTTTACAAAATAACATTATGCTTTTTTTCCCCTCCCTCCATCTTTCTTTTTTTCTCCTCATGACCAAATTATCTTACTATTTGTTTACTCTTCCAGGCGTGTCTGATGCTGACAGTCACACATAATGATCTGAGGCTTTAAAAAAGCTCACACGAGCACTAATTCACACTTCCCAATGCAGGCAAAATCTTGATTCTGAACATATTTAGCACTTTATACAGGAAAACTCCTTAAGGATGGCTGCTGGCTTCGTGCGCAAGATCTGGAAGCATTCCCAGCCCCCCCCCCATCACCACCACGCTCTAACCATTTTGTCTGTCTATCTTGTCTCGTATTCTGTTTTCAAAGCGATGTCACTGAGGTCTTTCTTTTAGTGCCTGAAGGGAACAATATATTTTTAGAACAAAACTCTCTTTTTTAACATATAACCTTGGAAAAAAAGATCAAATAGCCTGATAAAAGGACAGCGCTTTTTATTTTTCTTCATGGTATATCAGAGCCTGTTTAAAGATCACAGGTCAAAGCGAGTTGATTTAAAATAAATAAAAAAGTAAAGCTGAAACTATATTACTTTCTATCTAAGGTAGAGCCCAGAGCGGCTAGAATTCCTTCATGTGCCAGCCGGGGCCTAGAAGCAGTCCCCTTGTAGTGCTTTCCTCGCAGTTTGATTGATTGGCTATCCTTTATGCTATCTTTATATTTCCCTCAGCGGTGTATTTTAGATATTTTTTATATAGTTCCTTTCTTCTTTCAAACTCCTGGTAGGGCAAACTTTACACAAGTAGGAGACAGCAGGAACTCAAGACGGAGCCAGGAAAAAAAAAGAACAGTGACAAAGACACTTAGAAATACAAAACATCATAGGGAGGCATAGCTTTAGTATGAGGTACATGTGAGGTACAAAGTCACGGGTAAATTCATGTAGGTATGTAATGTTATTTGGAACTGAATTAATAAAAAAGGTACAATGGGGCTTGTTCCGTGAGCAGGGTAAGGAGCAAAGTATCTTAAAGGACAGGCCCACTATAGAATCCACACACCATCCAACCTCCAACCATTGTCCCATAAACTATCCTAAGATAATCCCCCCGCTCCACCCAGGTGCCTTTTTCTGAAGATGACAATATCCTGTGGTGTACCATCTCAGTGCAGAAATCTTGTATGATGCTGCCTGCATGGTAATTTCCCACAGATTTGAATAAGCAAAACCTATAGTGTTGAAGGCCCCATTAAAAGTGACACTAAACTCAAGAGTTAAACCTTAAAAATACATTCAAGTACCTTAACTATTAACAAAAATGTATCTTATTTGTGTATCACTCGGAGGGTGGACACTTTTGTTCCTCATGGTCCCTGTGTGTGTTGTAAAGTAGTCTCCGCTCTAAACTCACCTTCATGATAAATTATAACTTTAGTAAACTATACATGAGATTGTAGTCTATCACTTGGAGCCAGTTTGGAGTGGCGACTACTTTACAACCCACACAGGGACCATAGGGAACAAAAGTAGCCACCCTGCAGAAGGAAGGACAGTGTCAACACCAATTCAGAGATGATTTGAGGATCTACAGCCGAGTGATATACAAATAAGATACAATTTTGTTGATAGTTAAGCTGCTTGAATGCAATTTTAAGATTTCATTCCTGAGTTTAGTGTCAGTTTAAGTCTGTAGTAAGTTACTGCAGGGGCAATGCCAGTCACGTTTATAGCAGAGAGGCTTTGAACACTGCAGGGATGCCACCACCATTGGAAAAAGGAACTGGGGTGGGGTATAGCTTAGAATAGGTTACAGGGCTATTAAAAGGACTTGGATTTTTTTTATCCTAAACCTAACTTTATTACCTAAGAAAACAAAATAATACTTATGGGAGTTGATTCACTAAAAGCAAATAGGCTGTTCCATTTGCAAGAGAATTTGCACTTTGCTGGGGAAGTTTCCCCTTAGCTTAGTGAATGTGGTGAAATGTCACTGTTCCAAGAATACCCATTCATGTGCCATAAAAAAAACTATGCTAAGGGGATACTTTTCCTTTAAAGAGTAAATTCCCTTGTGAAGTGAACAGCCAAATTGCCTTTAGCAAACTAAACTTATACTTTTTTAGGGGCAAACATGTCTTGCAAAAAAAAAAAATTATTTGCAAACTATAGACAAAAAAAAGTGTTGTTTTTTTTCCAATTTAACAATGTTAATTTAAAGCAACTAGAGTTACTGTATATCAAAATTAAAAAAATAAGTTGTGTGCTGAGATCCCTATGCATTCATAAATACACGTGTGAATAAAGAAAAGGGACAATACAGTTTAAAAATTATTTTATTAAATAGAAAATAAAAGTTTACACTTTTATAAAATAGGTGGGACAGTTGCCAAGTGTTGAATTGTAACCTGTTCAAAAACGTGTGCAATTTATTCTCCCACAGTGATATTTATAACACTGGGATCAAGTATATGTATATATATACTGTATATATTATAAAAATGATCATTTTATTCTATATGATTTTGGTTCAAAGTAGTATAAAGTTATATGCAAATTAAACAAAGGTGTTTTTTTTAATGCAACATGAAGAAAAAACAAACAAAACCAACAAAAATTAAAAAAAGCCTCAATATTAATGATTAAAAAGCATAGAAAAAAAATAAAGAATCAGAAGAAAAAATAATAGCATAATGAGAGCAAGAGCTAAATGGGTAACTACTGTTTCTAAATAAAAAGGTTAAATAAGAACAATTTTTATTTAAAAAAAAAAAGGGTTTATTTGTAAAGTTGCTTTAACTGACATCTTATGCAGACCAAAAGTCACATGCAGTGAGCTTGGAGCCGAGACTACTTTACAACACACACAGGGACCATGGGGAACAAAAGTATCCCCCCAACACCCTCCTGAAGGAAGGACAGTGTCGGCACCAATTCAGAGATGATTTGAGGATCTACAGCCGAGTGATACACAAATAAGATACATTTTTGTTAATAGTTAAGGTACTTGAATGTATTTTTAAGGTTTAACTCCTGAGTTTAGAGTCACTTTAAGACCTATTCATTTTAGATTTTACAACCTAGAGAATGTACAATATTAACCAACTGGTCTGCTGACAAAAATAGAGAGTGTTGTTGTGCAGTAACCAATAGCAATCAATCACAAATCAGCTTCCTCAAGCTTAGATTTATCAGAATTATAATGGAAGCTGATACCTGATTGATTACTATTACCTGCACGTCATTCCTCTTTGCCTTGTGCTATTAAATAAGGCTGAAATTACTCCATCATGAATAATCTCAATGGAACTCATTCTAAAAGTGTCTGAAATAGTAAGTTGGTAGCCCATTGGGACCAATCAGACTACAACTTTTAAAGTACGGCTACAAGATAAAAGCAATACTCTGACTGGCCGCTGTGGGCAATACATATTATGCCTTCCAGACACTTTTGAAAATGAGGTCTGTGTGTTTTCAGGTAAATAGGTTGATTAAGATGTCAAATAAGGTTTTTTTTTTAAATAAAGATATTTAAATTATGCTTACAACCAGTCTCACAATAATTAAAACAATAATATAGTTAAACATTTTCTTTAATTAAAAGTGTAAAAACCATCCAAGGTCTTAGTAGTTGCAAGTCCTAAAGAGTCTGTCCACTCAATTGTGATTAATTAAGTCTGTGAAGGTTCTCATTCATCCAGGTCATGGTATATCTGTAAAAAATAAGTCAAGGCAACTGGACTTACTGTCCAGTTGCCTTGACTTATTTTCTACAGGTATGTGATTCATTAAGTTTCTTTTTGCAGACAAAGAGTCTCTTAAAACAGATACAAGTCATCCTTAGACATCTGTTTGCCATAGTTCAGCCAACAGAGCTCCTGTACTTCATGCAGTTTTTTAGAGACAATTGACAGGCATTGATAATCCTGGAAGCTGATAGAGTAAAGTTCTTCAATCGTATCATGGAGGCAGTTTTCATGGGATAACTTGTACCTATTTCAAGTAAGGTAGTTTATTCTTATACAGTGAAACTAGTAAAGAATACAAAGGGGAAAATAAATAATCCAATAACCAAAACAGAAAAGTTATTTAAGTTCCGGTTAACTTCTCATTATTTGTTAAAAATGCATATTCAGATACATCAACAATCTGCTTCAGCTGAGCAATTTTAAAGCCTTTCTTACACTCAGTAATTAATGATCTCATTAAAATGTATTGTTTCCCTTTGAAAACTAACATTGTATCCATTTTCATTAACGTTGCCTCATCTTCCTTGCGTTTGCAACCTTTTATGCATGAGAATGTGAATAATCACAGCAATAAAACCTTTTGTTTGTTTGGGTTTTATTTATTTTTTTATTTTCTATTCCGTTGAATGAATTTAAAGACCATTCTCTTCCAGATCCGGGAAAAGATGAGTTGTTTTAGTATGGCAGACCAAAATATGCTTTATGCCTAAAAATGATGAAAGCTAATGAAAAATATTGTTGGGTTCTGGTTTTCCTAATGACCCGAGTTTATTCTAAGAATGTTGTTGTGTTTGCCAGGTCATCTCGGGACCAGGTTAAGAATGGAGAGAAACTGGAGCTGACTATGTCCAATATCAATGCTGAAGTCTTGGAACTCTTGCTGGAATTTGTCTATAGAGGTTCCTTGATCATAGATTCAGCCAATGCCAAAATCCTCCTGGAGGCAGCCAACAAGTTTCAGTTCCACACCTTCTGTAAAGTCTGCGTATCCTTCTTAGGTAGGAGGCACTTTTTGTAAATACACATAAACAAGGATTGGGCTTGTACCTGAGCAGGGGCTAGTCGGGGTCAATATATTCTATTCCCATATTATCACATAATAGTTGTTCCAGACTCCACTGTGGCATACCATGGGTACACTATATGGCTAAAATATGTGGACACTCCTCCAAATAATTGATTTTACACCTGCACCACAACCCTATTGGATACCATTTGGATAAATTGGAACACTGATTGCAAGCCAGATCTTCTGATTCAACATCAGTACCTATCCTCACAAATGCTCTTTCAGTTAAATGAGCTCAATTCCCACAGATATACTTCAAACTTTTGTAGAAATCCTTCCCGGAAAATCTGTGACTGTTGTAGACAAAAAAGGGGGCAACTGCATATTAATGATCATGATTTTAGAATAAAATATCCAACAAGCTTGTTTAGGTATGATGGTCAGGTGTCCACAAACTTTTGGCTATATAATGTAAAATGAAAATCAGATGGAGATATCTGCAAAGGGAATGTATGAAGGTTGTATATGTACTTTACTTCTTATTCTGCACAAGAAGTTATGTAAATATGAGTCATGTGCTAGCTAGAATTAAGTTTCCCTTGCATGTGACATGTGATTGGGTAATTAGAGTGAATACACTTTCACCCTGTTTACTAACATTAATTTTAAAAGTGAAAAATACACTTGCAATGTGAATATTCGCCTTGTTAAGTAGGCAGCCTCTACGAGTAAATTAAACCAATGGGTCGAAATAAAATATTCTATACCTTTGAAAAAATACAGATAAAAAACTTCAGTTTAAAATATATGTCAGCTTTAAAATAAAAATAAAAAAAATTGACCCCAAACCATTATGGTTTCCCTTTTAGCCAGGTAACTGATTTGGATTGTGGTCGATGGTAAAATCATATGCCGTTTTTGTCTTTCTGCAGAGAAACAGCTGACTGCCAACAACTGCCTGGGCATCTTGGCCATGGCAGAGGCCATGCAGTGTGTGGAGTTGTACAACATGGCCAAAGCATACGCCTTGCAAAACTTCCCCGAGGTAGCGAACCAGGATGAGATCCTGAATATCTCAAAGGATGATTTTGTATCATACATTTCTAACGACAGCCTGAACACCAAAGCCGAGGAGCTGGTATACGAGGCAGTGATAAAATGGATAAAGAAAGATCCGGCGAACAGAGCACAGGTAGGAGAGATAAACTACTTTTCGTGAGCAATTTTCACTCGGTCAAATACAGCAGCAGACTGAAAAATATATGTTTTGCTTCAAAATAACTCTTTTAGCAGACCTAAAGTACAATTGTGTGCTGGAAAATACACTTCAGACACAGTACTTTCAGATTATTAGGAGCGTCATTAAAGCATCTATGAAAAACGAGTTACCTTTATTAAAATCCATGTTTATGTTTATAATTTAAATATATTGGGAGTATTAAGAAAATTGTGTAGTACTGTTCTGTTCAGTATGGGGCAGTGCACACTATGCACAAAATGGAGAAAATCCTGGAGTGTGGAGTAATATACAGTATGGAAATCATTGTGGAGTACTGTACACTACGGAGAAAATCGTGGAGTATGGTGATTATTGCTGTGTGCTAGCCTATTCCCCAGAAGAAATGAATTTTTTTTTAAGTGCACAGAGTTAGGCTGGCGATACATGGAGCAAATTACAGCCAGTTCATCAAAAATGTGCGTGTTTACACAATGTGGCAGTACATGGCAATGCCACGGTGTAGTATGGCAACATTGGCGCCCAGGACTCTCAACCTGAGGGGCTGAGAGGTTCCACAATGGGAATACCTTTGGAGAGGAGGAACTGGCTGTTCAATTCCTTCCAGGTTTTCCAGACTATAATGGGATGGGATCTCCAGTCCTGGGGCCAAGTGTTGCCAGTGGCCAGGTTGGGTTGAACAGGTGGCTGAGAGCAGCCTTATTAGGAAGCCAGCCCAGTGCTTTAGAGGAGAGTTGTGGGTGTGCAAGAGGCACACGACCACAGGCAGACTCTGCTGCGTGCGTGAGCACAAGGGAAACAGACAGGAAGGCTGGAGAGATCCAGAGGGTTGGACCCTGAGATACCTGTCGGGGAGACAGAGAGAGACGGTGACCCACGAGGGTTGAATACTAACAGGCCTTGAGCTGAGGAAAGCTGCTGAGGACTTCCAGGGAAAATCCTGGGACTATCACACTAGGAGTGTGTGGGACAGCCAGATATCATCACAAACCATATTGTTGTGATGTAAGTCCAATGAACTATTCTTTTTAGATTATCATGGACTGTTGACCTCTTTGACGTATAAAGACTGTCCTTTTATGTTAAAGTTGGCTTCAGGAGTGGTCACTTAGCGCTTATCATTGTGCTATATTCCCCAGACTTACATACAGCCGTCTACAACTATTCAACTATGGGTGGCTGTACGCCGCAGCTGTGCATCTTGGGTACACATAATTTATGATCTACGACCTCATGCTCCCATGTGCATGAGGCCTTAACAGTCTTAACATGTTAATATCATTTCAAAAGTTGCTTCCTTTTTTTTTTTGACATCTGCAGCTTTCATTTAAATAACACAGATCATGCACTTTCTATTATGCAGTGACAACTGTCTCCCAGTCGTGCTGCTACGTTGTCACCCAGTCAACTGATTGAGATTACAAGCGTCCTTCCTGACACTCATTGCTCAGGCATGGGCCACCATTGTCACTGCCAGGAAGCCAATTCAGAGCACTGATGTGAAGCTGACCTTGAAGCGAATGCATGTAGACAAAGAAGCTAGAGGAAATCAGCAGCACTGGGATGCAACAAATAATTTTAAAAAGTGAACGCAACATGTTTCGGAGAAAAAAAAAATATGGCAGTTGTTTATGACACAGTTCTTTAGCAAACTAAATGTCTTTCAGTGAGGGTTTATTTTAATTGAAAGGTTCATTTATACTTACTGTGGCAAGCGTTGTGGTTTACCTACACATAAAAAAAGTTTGTTTGTGACATGCCTGGCAGCGGAACAGAGGATCATGGGAATTCTAATTTAGACAGTTACAAGTCTGAAAGTTTAAGTCCGCTGTGTAGATAAATGAAACGACAATCTCACTCTAACAGGTTCTACTCTGTGTACTGCGCCGCAACGGTCAGTTCTCAGTGCGCTCATTACCACTTACACTGACCCGAGCAGCAGGACCGGTCATTGAAAAGTGTATTTTCTTCTTGTATTTCATCTTAAGAAACTGGATTGAAAAAAAAAAAATCAAACTACTTGTAGTTTCATTCAACCTTCTAAACTTTATTTCATTGTAAAATATATCTCTCATATTTACTGCAAGAGGTTCTATAACTCCAGCTTTATTGTAGTGTTTCCAAAAATTGCTGCTCTGCTCCTTTGCCAGTAACTCATGAGCCCCCGTTAAAAAAAACTTTATAAATTGTGTATTCTTAGACATTTTTCATTGTGTCCGGTGCAAAGCACATCTTCCAGCAGAAGCAACTGGGCACTTATTACAGGTGTTACCCTTCCTTTTACTACAGGGATGTCCCGATGCCACTTTTTCAGGCCCAAGTACATCCCCTCATGTACTTGCCGATACAAATTACCGATACTTTTTCTTAAAGGGACAGGTGACTTTAAATGATCCATAGTACAACTACATGTTATGTACTATGGATCATGATTTAACCTATTCATGTTAGCAGGGGAGAATTGTAAATCTATTGCTGGAGTGTAGTGGAGGTGTGTGCTGTATATATGCACTACATTTACATTACACACGTCCAGTACACTATAGCAAAAGATTTACAGCCAGCCCCGTCCCAGCTTCCCTTACTCACAGTTTCACTCCGATCCCTGTTGCCTCACGCAGTGCCTCTCGCAGTCGGCGCTGGGCAGGATCGCTGCATCGCATCTCGGTGCTCAGCTTGTATGTGGGGTTCTAATTTAGCTGGCTCAGAGGTGTCCACAGGCAGTGATGTGGATAACTGTATGCGAGCAATTAGTTGGAGGGGGGTAGGAGGAGCCCAAATTCCAGCTTTAAAGAAAATTAAAGTGTAAAGGTCAATTTTACTTTACGGTTTTTTTATGTTTCTAAGTTTGTAAACTGTATGAAATATTGTTTAACTATATTTAAAAAATAGTTTTTTTTAGCAACACAGTCTGGGGTTGGTTAAAAGAAGTCTGTGATTGGCTGACATGAGCAACCCAAGCTTGCTAAAACAGTTCTTCTCTTGGACACGTAGATAACTCCCCCATTGTGTGTCTAACACTTTAAAACTAACATTTGTGATTTGCCAGGCTGATGCAGAAGCAGAGTTTCGTAACGTCTATAATCCAAGTCACAACTTCCTACTTTTCCACTTCAAAGTTGTCTGGAATTGTGGACATGTTGAAATATAATCCTAAAATGATATAAAACGCTACTTCAATCAATGGGACCATAAAAATGCAAATTATAATACTGTAATTACCAGTTGTCCCCATCCAGGCATTGTTAAAAAAAAAAAACACGGTTTAAACACCGTTATTACCTGCAAACCGGCAATTATTTTCTTAGAACTTTCGCCACATTGCCATGGTAACTACAATATTTAATTTGCTATTATAGGATTACTTGTGACCCCTTTAAATATAGCATTAATGACATCTGGAACACCATAGTAACTTAAACGCTATGTTTCTGTGTGCAGTCAGAGTCATTCACAAACTAGAAAATCACATATTTTTCAGATTTTGTGTTATCGCATTTTATTAGTGTTTTTGTAGCGGCCTTTAACAGGTGAAGTGAACAGTGAGTGAATATTGGTTGCCGGATACACAATAAAAACTGAGCAGTTTTTTTGCTGCTACAGTCACTTAATGTAAACCTGTCATGGAAAAATGTATGCAATCTCATATACCACATCTACGTTTATTGCTGATTTTAAATAAGTACTTATTTTAGAATGTGCACCACTAGTGTATTCTCCATCACTTTAGGTGGGACATGTACCACTGATGGTACTCATTATCACTATCAGCAGGACATGCACCACCTATGGTACTCCCTGTGGTACTCTCCATCACTATAGCTGGGATATGTACCATTGGTGGTAGTTGTTTTCATTATAGGTGAGTCATGTACCACTGGTGATACTCTTTATCACTATCAGCAACACGTGTACCACCTGTGGTACTCGCTGTGGTACTCTCCATCACTTTAGCTGGGATATGTACCGCCTGTGGTAGTTGTTAAGATTATAGGTGAGACATGTACCACTGGTTGTACTCTCCTGTAGGTAGGCCATGTACAACTATGGTACTCTTCATCAGTATAGGTGGGACATGTACTCTGGGGGTACTCTTTATCACTATTGGCAGGACATGCACCACTGGGGGTACTCTCCATCACTTTAGGTAGGATATCTATCACTTGTCATACTACCTGTGGTCCTTTCCCTTAACATAGATGGGGCATGTTCCACTGATGGTTGTTTTTATCACTGTAGGTGAGACATTTACCACTGGTGGTACTCTCCCGTAGGTCAGACATGTACAACTAATGGTACTCTTCATCAGTATAGGTAGGACATGTACCACTGCTGGTATTCTACACAACTGATAGAGCATGTACCACTGGTAGTACTCTCCATAACTATAGATAGAGCATGTAACTCTTGCAGTACTCTCCATCACTATAAATGGGACATACTACTTACTACGTACTACTGGTGGTAGTTTTTATCACTATAGGTAAGAAATGTACCATTGGCAGGGCTCTTTATCACTGTAGGTGGCATATGTACCACTGGTGATGCTAACCATCACTATAGATAGGAAATGTACTACTGGCAATAGTTTTTATCACTGGTGGTACTTTCCATCACCATAGGAACAGCATATTCAGGAAAGCAGAGTTGTATTTTAGGTGCATTTGAAGCTGCTATACAAGTACTTTGGGGGTGCCATCCTAAGTATATAGCACCCCAAAGCACATGCACAGTTGCCGCAAAGCATCAGTGAGCCCTAAAGCAAATGTCATTAGAAAGAAAAGATTCTGTCAGGTATATTGTGCAGTAGCGTTGGTGTCCCCACCTTTCTGTCCATATGCCAGATCATTCTGATGGCCAGAGTTTATCAGGTATTTCCTGGTAGTGTTGGAGCTTGCCCGTCCCTTCCTGGCTCCCAAAGCAGGGGTAGGTAAGTATAAGATTTTGGTGTGGTG